CTTATTTTCTTCAATCTCACCAACCTACATCACAATATCAAAATCACACATCTAATTATTTATCAATTACATAAACATTACATCATTAATTATTTATAAGGTGTCTGTTTCTACTTTTCAGTAGAAATCAAGCCGTTGACAACACAATTCATGCCGTTGGGAGCCGCAATTTTGGACCAATTCTCTCACTGTAGGGCTGTAATTTTGAAAAAAAAAACGGTAACATAATCAATTTTCCTTCCTCCTTCCAGCGCGCCCAAACACATCCTTAATTAATCAAAAAAATTACATCTTTATTAATAACAAATTAATTATTAAACAAAAATATTAAATATAAACTAAGCAAACGTGCATTGCAACCAAACCAAACATGCTTTTCAATTTTTCATTTTGAAAATTAATTTTTTAAAATGTAAATCAAATGCATTTTTAACAATCTTAAAACGATCACTTAAAAAAAAAAAAAAAAACTTGGCTTTTCATTTTTGGTCGTGGTCGTCGATATCATCACTGTTGTTGTGGTTATGATCAAATACTTAGCTACCACACTTGTCAAAACCGTAACTATCATCCACCATTAGCCTTCATCAGTACGGCCAGACTTTTCACTAAACGATTAGGAATAAAATAAAGAAAAAAAATGTTTCATTAAAAATGGTGTTAGGCATACGAGTTAAATGCAGTGCAAGCGATAAGGCAGTTACACTCCTTCACCTATCATTCCAGTTCGGTCCGATCTCGAAGTTGTAGCGTGAAGGTCATCTGGGAATGAGGTTTCACGACAACAGTATCACCCACTTTGAGTGAAATTATATTTGAATCATTCTTTCAATTTCGTGCAATATGATCAATCAACTTCGATTTAATTGTAAATTTCATCATTCTATCCACTACATTTAACAAACATAATATGGTGATGTAGACGTTAAAACTAACGAAAGTTGATACATTAAATTGAAGACGAGTGAGTGACATGAATGCAATGTTCTCAAAGTTGGATGCCCCACATAGCATTTAGTCCTTATACATGGAACCTGTTTGGCTCCCATTATTTTACATGATAATGAGGTGAATATTGATTTTTTGGAGAATATATGGTTAAAAAGAAGGGAAAATTTAGAATTTACATGTAATATTATTTTATTGAAGAATGTGTGGTTGAAAAGAAAAAAATAGAAACGTGAATTATAATTTAATTGGGAATAATGAGGCCAAACGATGGCATGGTATCAAGATACCTATGTAATTGCAACAATCGATCACCATCTGGGTTTTATTTTTATGTCCCTTTAAATATCTATTATTACAGTACGGGACAATACCTCGAACAGGTTGAAATTTTGATGGCAACCCAATTACGGTAAAAAAAAAAAAATCACAATATTACTTATTACATGATCTTGCATGCTGAGGGATTTTCTTCAATATAACAAACAGACCTTCCCAGGTGGTGGCAACCCCTCCCACAGCCACAGCCACACCCATAGCCATAACCATAATAACCGTAGTAACACGGCGGCGGAGCTGGGTACCCATGGTAGCATGGGCCTCCACCATGACCTTCAGAACATGGTCCACAGCAAGTCCTTGCCGGAGGTCTTTGTATTGTGTCAGGTTTAGTCCCCTTCCCGGTAGGCTTTTGATTAGCAGGTGTTGAATCGCTGTTGGGATTGACCTTTTTAGGGTCCTTGGAAGGCTTCTCTTCTGGCTCTTTTATTATTTCAATACTCTCGATAACTTTTCCACCTTTGCAGCACAATTTGTCACGAAATTTTTCTGGGCTACAGCATACTACACTGATTTTGACTGTATTTTGCTTGACATCATAAGTCTGCCCTCTAATTTCTTCTGTCCCAAAAAGTTTTGCATCAAAGAATATAAGTCAGTTCTTATCACGCGCGTGCGCACACCAAGAAAATATGTATTTTCTTTTTCATTCATACGCAAAAACGAGCACGGAATATGGATGAATTTAAAGACTTACGAGGGGATTTGCAAAGAATTTTTTTGATTTTCTTGTAGCAGGAAGGACATTGGAGGTCAACCTTTAGTACCATTACAGTAACCTGTTACACGTGACAAACTTGATGAAGATACTAGGTATGGAAGACAAGGCCAAGCAGTGACATCAAAATCAAATATGATAGAACTTGTGATATTTTCATACCTTCTCAGCCATAAGTAGATGGGATATTCAGAAAAATCTGTTCACTCTGTCGATGTTTAAAGATGAGATAAATTGGGTGAGAGGGAGAACTTATGGTAACATGTTGATAGAACGAAGAATGTAAGAACTTCTTATAAAACGTGTGGATCTCAAATTGCATTATTTAAAATCTTTAAAAGTCTTGGTCTCGAGTACGGATTCGAATTTGATTAAATGTATGAAAAACATGTCTCGTTTCAAATTAAAATTAGGGTGCGTTTGATTGTAATGGTGGAAAGAAAATGATTTTCAGGGAAAATAATTGCCAAGAAATTATTTTGTAGGGAATTGTTAATTAAGTGTGTTTGATTGGTATAATTTTTCACCAGGAAAATTTTTAAATTTTATGCTCGTTTGACTTTATTTTACATGGAAATTGTCCATTAAAGTGATAATTTTTTCCACAATTGGTTATAAAATTTATTTCCATTGTCAAAAAGTCAAAAAAAAAAACGAAATTTTTTTTTCCTACAAAATCATTTTTTTAATCAAAATTTAGTGTTCGTTTGACTTTGTTTTACATGAAAATTGTTCATTAAAATGATTTTTTTTTTCTTTTACAATTAGTTATAACATTTGTGAATGTAACTAAAAAAAAAAATGGGAAAACAAAAAAGTTTAGCTGGCTTCCTGGAAAATCATTTCCCACCAAAACCAAGAAAATCAGCTCGGTGGGAAATGATTTTCAGCCAAAACCAAGAAAATCAGCTCTGTACTGGCGGCTGGGAAAACATTTTCCCTGGAAAAAGTTGGCTGTCAAACAACCCAAAAGCAAGAAAATGGAAATTTTTTTCCTTTTTCCCTGGAAAAAAGTGGCTGTCAAACAGGGCCTTAAGGTCTTTAGGTGCTCTTATGTCATTTCCTGCACCAAATTTTGCATCAAACTAAAATTCATCTTCAACCATTACACCAAAAGTTACACCAAATGAACAGTGTTTAATCACTTTCTTCTCTCTTCNATATTTAATCATTTTCTTCTCTTTTTTTATTCTAAGTAATTTATTTATTTGAAATATTATTTATTTATTTTCGAAATACTATTTATTTATTTATTTTAGAAATACATACATTACTAAATAAATAATTACGTTAAATTAAGGAAACTAATAATAAAAATGCTAATTATTATTATTATTATTATTATTATTATTGTATTAAAATTTATATAACACAAAAGACACAAATACCCTCCAACAATTCTTTTGGCAAATGAAAAAATGGGGCAAATTGGACTTTGCACCATTTTGGAAAATTTGGTGCCATATTGGAGCACTTTTGCACCAAATTTTGGTGAAATTTGGTGTTTTGGTGTTACCATTGGAGATGTCCTTATATCTCAATGAATCATCTAGGAATGTCAAAGGGGTCGGGCAACCTCCCCTGCCCCGCCAAGCAATTTCTCGCCTCGTTATCCGTTTAAGGCGGGGCGAGGTCCTTTCCTCGTTTACTACCCCGTTAAATTTTTTTTTTTAATTTTTGATAATTTATTTTTATTGCCCTCATTTATTAGATTTAGATAAATAATTTTAGTTTGTCATTTTCTATTAAAACTAACGAAATTTGGTGAAATTTTTCATTTAAAATATTGAATTCTAAAAAAAAAAAAAAATTAAACGGAGCAAGGAGGGGCGCTTGTTACCCGTCACTCCCCGAATACCGGATTAAGGGGGTTATCCCCGTCCCGTTCGGAGCAGGGCTCGCAGGTATCGGGTTTGTTGAGTTTTTTTTGCCATCCCTCAATCATTTCATCTTAAAGTGTTACATTTATTTAAATTTATCTTTAAAAAAAAAAAAAAAGCACGACTAATAAGAAGCCAAGCCTCGTGAAATCATGAGGAATATATTCTCCACCGAATAGTGCTTTCTTTATCTTTTTGCAAAATAGGATAGATATTTGGAGGGAGTATGGGATCAAGACTCTCGAGTCTTTGTTTAGGAGCTGGCTTTGATAGGGACAACTCACCATCCAATAGCTTTAAGGGCAATTAAAGCCTCTTAATTAGGGTAGGTTAATTTAATATTACGGGTCCCCAAGTGAGACATTTCAAGAAGTTTAGGGGCGTCAATGTTTTAACTCGTAATCGAGAATTCGGCAAGTGATCAGTTGAGTTTCTTGAACAACACATTTTCACATATCGAGAACTATGATCACTTTCCGATATCAATGAATTTTACGCTGCCTTGCCTGTGTCTAATCGAGTGAAAAAAAAGTGATTCGTTCAATTGATTAATAAGTCTTTCTTATTCTTGTTCTCCTTGTGTGTGTTGCCAAATAGGCTTCAATTATATGGTCACGATGGCCATAAAGAGTGGCAGCCAATTGCTACTCCCTTGTCCTGGTCTAGCTGAAGCCTTAGCAAGATTAGAGTCCAAGCTGGGGAGCAATTCTAGTTGTACAAAATTATTTGACAAAGTGAGTATGGCAAGATCTGGATCAATGATTTCAAAAACTGTTTTTGAAATCATTGGTTCAGATTTTGTCAAACTCATTTTGTAACCCAATTTTGTCAAACATTTTTGTACAACTAGCATTGCTCGACTAGGCTGTTGACCTGAGTTTGTAGGTTTAAGCCTATTATTCTCATTGAAGGAACCTGGTTAGTGGAAATAACATGGATTAAGTATTTTCAAAATCTCAATTTATAATTAAGCGATACTAGTTTTTCCTCAAAAATAAGATATAATTAAAAAATTTAATATTAATAATAATATTATAAAAATTATTTACATATCCACTCCATTACCATCTTCCCTCACAACTCTAATTATTCTCAATCTCCTATTTCTCTCTCTAATAAGCCGACTTTCCCTTCTTTCTATCTTTTCTCGCCCTCTCTTCTCTCACCATCTCTATATTCTCTCGCTTGCGACTTCACAATGCACTCACAAACCCGATAATAGTAATGTACCATCAAGCAACCAAGGCAACATACCATGCGGCATCAGTGACGTAGCACGCCGCACGAGGTGTGGTGGTGAGCGATGGCTACAAAGCATAGCACCACTGCACGCAGTGCAGGGTTGTTCAGCGCCAACTTGCCTCACCTCGCCTCATAGCACCGTGTAGCAAAGGTGCTGCACTAGACAGCGTCACGCTGCAGTGCCTCTGTACGTAGCACGACGCACTACCTCTGTTTCATTTATTTTCTAATGGATGTGCTGTTGCTAATGTTGTAACGATCCAAATTTTTGAAATCTGAAATCGCTACCAAAAATCATTTATTTACTTGTGAATGAATAATAGTTATCGTTAGTTATATTAACACTAAATTTCAACGTAAGTAATGTGATAAATTTCTTTTACAATTATTGTGACTAATCATTTAAATTGAATGTGCGTGGAGACCTTGAACTAGTCTGCCAAAATACTTACTGTTTGGTTAAAACTTCAAATCAACATGTGCAAAATTAAATGACAAGTAGTATATTAATTTATTATGGTCTTTACAAAATCATGATAATTACGTATCATATTTTCTCTTCCTTCAGTGAGGGGACATTGCCTCAAAATTCACCCAAATGTATATCATTCTGGCAGATTTCATTCCACGTGCATAATAACTGTAAATCAATTACTAAAATTGCTCTATGTTCAATCTCCAATATGTCATAATTATTTATGCAGAAAACGTAAATAGCAAGTCACAAAATACCCAAAACAAGTTAAAATTTCCCAAGTCATCGTACGAAATTACATGTCCAAATAAATTTGTCCCAAATTTCAAGTAAAAGTGAACGACTACAATAAATAAATAAAAAACTAAGGTTACTGCTAAAATTTAGAATTTAAGACATATTACACTGTTTGTTTTATTGAATCCCAGAAAAAAATCATAACACCATGATTGCACCTCATTGCCTGCCAACCAGTGACCCGTTCTAACCTGTGAGAAGTAGGAAAAATGGTGAGTACATGGAAATACTCAATAGGACATTAAAAAAAATGGTGCAATCCCAAATGAAATTTTTAAAACATGTGTCAAAAATTGTCATACTGTCATCATATCTTTAGAAACATGTGAGAGCTGAATACATATCATATCTTTGGTACCGAATAGCCATATCATACATATCATATCTTTAATTTTCATGAGTATAACAATTCATCAACATGAAAAAGAATAATTTAAACAGGATAGAATCGCATGCACTTCGTTATCCTACCTTGTTAAATTAAATAAGTTCTTGAAAGATGAAAAATCCCAAAATCATGTTCTAAACTATTTTTCTACATTTGCTTGTGTGCCGTGCATAAATGTATATTTTGTTTGTGTACCCACCATCAGGTCACATCTATATGTACATAGGCAATAATAACCTAAACCCTAAAAAGTCGGTGCATAGTGGGAAACGTGTGGGAGTGGGATACGATAATTGGATAAGAATATTTGAAAAAAAAATTTGACTAAGTCTTATCAATTTAGAATTCTCACACGTGTCAAACTAACCACAACTTATAAAAAAAAAACAAACAAACACATTTCATAAGTTTTCCCATTAAAATTCTCAATTCATTAAATAACTTAACTAAATTACTATTTAAGACAATATCTTTCGACTTCGATAATTTGGGTCTCGCTTATCCGAATTAACTTTTCTCGATTTTAATATGCATAATTAATTACGATCTATCCAATGAGCCCAATATCCATATGCTTATCATTGCTCCATCAATATCCAAATATTTGACTCTTA